CCCCGGCCCGAGCCTCCTGCCATCCAAAATTCAGATTTGGAGGGGCAGCCGGAGGCCGGCGTCCCCCTCCCTGGGCTCCAGCCTGGCTCCGACACAGGGGCAGAGCAAGGGACCAGCCCCAGGGATGCCCCAAGGTCCCCGGGGATGCTCCAGGGGTGACAGGGAGCTCCGCTTCACAGGGTTACGGAAGAATTCGGTGTCCGACAGCGGCAGCACGGCCAGTACCTTCAGGCTTCGGGGGCCAACGCCCCGACCCCGCTGCTTTCAGGGGGAGCTGCGGCGGATGGATGAGCTACGAGACAGCTGTGGGGCTGGGGGCCGGTGCAGTTCGGGGCTCCCCGGGGACGGCACCATCTCAGGGTGCTGGAGGGAAGCCGGGTCCAGCTGCTGGGGGGAGCGGCTCTGTCCCCTACTGCCCCGTCCCGTAGGGCCAGTTGAAGGTGCTCCCGGACAGCAGCATGTCCCTGATTAGTGTTTCGATGGGCGTCTTCCCCACCAGCCTCATGAAGAAGAGCTGGGAGATGAGGGCGGCCGGCACGGCCCGGGGAGCCGGCAGGCGCACAAGGGGGCGGGCCGAGAGAGGAGCCGGCCGAAGCGCTGGGGCTGTGAGGGGTACTGCGAGCGCACGTACTCGGTGAGGGCCACCTGCGCCTTCTCCTGCAAGCTCTCCACGTGCGCCGGGTCCGAGAGGCCGCAGGCGTCTGCGAGAGGGATGGGATGGAGAGGGGTCAGTGGTTGGAGCCCCCTGATATCCCCAGCGAGCCCCCCCACCCCTCTCCCCGACCGGCTGTGCTCCTGGCCTTGCCGAATTAGGGATGCAGCTGGCTGCAGCGCCGCAGCACGATGCAAGACCATGGCTTGGGGACCGCTCCAGCTGCAAAGGGCTGCTGCAGGCTCGTCCCTGCCAGGAAGGACCAGGCACCTCTGCGGCAGAAGGTGAGCACGGATGGACCGAGGGACAGGGCTCCCCCAAACCCCGCGGTGCACGGCCGGTCTCATTCCCATCACTCCGGGGAAGCTCAGCCCTGTGCCCAGACGGACGAGCTGGGATGCTGCAAACCACGGTGGAGAAGTGCCGGGACACAAGGAACCTCTGCCATCTCCCCGAGAGCCACACGATGCTCTCTGGACCCCAAACCCCCAGGGAAATGGGGGGCAGACGCTACGGGGGGCTCACGGCTCCACGGGGCGGAGGTGGGGACAGGGCCCGGTCGCGGCACCAACCTACCCGGCGTGAAGAGCGCGATGGCTTTGAGGCAGCTGTACTCGGCCGAGTCCACCTGGAGTCGGTTGAGCTTCTCCACCTGATCCTGAAAGATGCGGATCTGGTCCATGAAGGAGACGACGCGGTCGGCTGACATGGGGGAGGCATGGAAGCCAGCAGCGGCCAGCAGCGGGGCCATGTGCAGCGGCAATGCCGACTGAGCCGCGTTGAGGACGAAGAGCTCGCTCCAGCTGAGCCGTAGCAGGGCCACTTGGTCGGAGACGGGCAACTCGGGGAAGAAGGGGATGTTCCGGGCCCATTCCACCGTGCTGAAGAGGAGGCGGGCGGCCAGCTCGCAGATGTTGTCGATGCCCATGACGCTGCCCTGCTGCGCGTACTGCGAGCCGTAGCGGGCGGCGGGGGAGGGGTCCGCCCGCAGCCGGGGTAGGGTTCAGCCCGCAGCAGCTGCGAGATGAGCTCCGACACCGGCTGCCCGTTGAAGTATTCCCCGCTGGGCATGGTGTTGGGGCTGGTGCTGGAGTGGGTGGGGGGGATCCGGCCCCGCTGCACGGCTAGGGGGAGAGGAGAGAAGGGTCTGCCTGCTTCTGGATCCTGCTGCATCGCCCAGCCCGCTCCCGGGGGGCACGCGGGGTTCCCTCTGCCCCGTGCGGGGTGAGGAAGGACGGGGACGCTCCCCCCAGCCACCCACCCAGCATCCCGGCATCCCCGGCAGGGCCGGATCCTGCCACCCCGGGGGAACAATGGGTGGCTTTCAGGCGCTTGGGGAGAGGGAGGTGGTGCGTGCCACCCACTGCGCCCGCCGGCGAGCTGCCTGCGAGAGCTACACTAATCTATTTAGCATCCCAGTGATTCAGCAGCAGCTCCCAGGCTGCTGGCACCGTGGCTTAGCCATGGGTCCGACCAGCAGCCGGGCTGGGACAGCGTCTGTGCCACCTCCTCCTCTGCAAGGAGCCAGCGTAGGAGTGGCCGCAGCTGCAGCCATGCCAGACCGGGTGCCCCACCGGCACCGTGGCCCCCCCGCGCTGGCTGCAGCGGAGCAGGGCGATTGCTACCCAAGGTCATTGCATGGTGGCAATCATTTATTTGCAAATAAAACTTCCATCTTGGAAGCGTCCTTAACCCTGGGGCACTCCCCCTCCTAATTGCATTCAGGGAGAGCCATTTTTCAGCTCCCCCCCCTCCCATTAGCGCCCACTATTTGCTCAGTCCCTAGTAATTAATTTATGGGCTGTTCATGAGCCACTTAAATGAGAGCTCTAAATCATGCTAAGTGGCAATAATGCCATCTCGACTCCTCTGGAAAGGAGGGAATTACTGTCCTGCTTCCAGTATCCTTCCCCCCTTGCTCCTCACATTAATGCCACCTGCCGCTGAGCAGCCCCGGCACGGCGGCAGAGCCCACGCCGAGCCCCGGCATCTCCATCTCCGCGTGCGCCTTGGCATGGCCCCATCCTGCCGCGGGGATTCGAGATCCCAGCTCTGCTTTGGGCTAAACCCTTCGCCCCGTTGCAGCAGCCTGGGAAACATTTGGGGTTCGCACCCCTGAGTGATGAAGAGCGAGCAGAAAGCCGCCCAGGGATCTGCATGGCTCCGGCTGTGCCGGGAGCCGACCTCCACCGTGCCTGGGGCACCGGGGCTGTCCCGGCTCCAGGTGTGTCACCTTATCAGCTCAAGGCTCCGGCTTTTCCAAACAAATACCACCTGAGCTGCCGGCACCGAGGGCGATTCAAGGAGAAAAAAAAAAAAAAAAGGCAATGGGGTTTTTGATGCAAACAGGGCTCCCAGAGGGGTGGGAGAGCGCCCGGCTGCAGCGGGAGCAGAGCGGGCACCGGGAGCCTGGGAGCAGAGCGGGCACTGGCAGCACCGGGAGCCCTCAGCCGGTGCTGCAGCAGCCCCATGCTACAGCGGTGAGGTTCACCGGGACCCCTCGAGAACCATCCCCGTCCCCGCGGTGCTGGCATTACCTTCCTTTCTCATCCCCACGCGGAAACACTTCTTCAGGCGGCAGTACTGGCATTGGTTGCGGTGGTGCTGGTCGATCTGGCAGTCACGGTTGGACCTGTGGGCAGCACCGGGCAGATGAGGCGCCGGGGAGGAGCGACGCGATGCCGCTGGGGGTCCCCGCACCCCACCAAGCTGCTCCGCCACCCACCTCCCCGCCGCCCTCGGGCAAGGCCTTTCGCCTCCGAGCGTGGCCACCTCCGTGCTGGCCGCGGCTCTGCCACCCCGGCGTGCAGACATAGGCGCTCCCAGGCGGCACTCAGATGCTATGGAAACAGAGCGATTTCCTACAGCAGGGGCTGCCAGTTCGCGTTGCCAGCGGTGCCCAGGGCTGGAGGAAAGCCGGAGAGACCCCGGGACGCGGGGCCTCCATCCTCGGGGATGTAGGGACGGGAGCCGGGGCGCGATGCCCCGTGTCCCGGCATGCCGGGGGAAGTGGCAGAGCAGCCCCCGGCCTCACCACCAGACGTGCGAGGAATTTCGAGGAATTTCAACTATTTCCTATGGGCTGGGGCTGCCCCAGTGGTGCTGAGCCCGCGACCCCTTGGGCACCGAGCACTTGCAGGCGTCCCCCATGGCGGTGGCACGGCCCCGCACCCTCCGTGCTCCGGTCTGGCCTCGACCGGGCCCTGTGAGCATGGCAAAGCAAAACCTGGTGGCTCCGGAGCAGCGGTGCACATGCCCCCAGCCCTGGCGCGGGGTCTGCACCGGCCGGAGGGATGCTTTCCCCCCGAGCAACCTCAGAGCCTGCAAGGGGGTCGTGCCCACGCCCTGGCACACGGGTCCTGCCCTGGGCAAGGAGCCGCGGGCACTGGACAAGCCCCTGCACCACGCAGCTGGGTACTGGCCACCACCAAAGCCAGCCGCCGACCTCTGCTCCTGCGGCATCGCGGGGAGCAACGCGCCGGGCCAGGCTGCGAGAGACGTTCCCAAACGGCATCGTTAGCGTCCAAACCCCCCAGCCCCGGTTCCCAGGGGCCACTCGTGCTCACGGTCCCCACACGGCCGAGCGGGGCACGGGAGACACCGGGCGCTTGCATCCCACCCGAAGGCTGTCGCAGCAACGGGGAGGAAAGGGGGTTACCAGCAAAAGAGCAATAAATTAAGGCATACGAAGCAGCAGCCAGGAAAGCGCAGGCAGGGCCGGATCGCGCCGGCGGCCGGCAGCAGCTCAGCTCTGCCTGGGAATCCTGACACGAATCTCCTCATCCCTA